CTATGACTTGCGTTTCGTTAAATATCGTATTTGATTTTATTTTGTTTGACTCGATGATCACAGATTTTATATTTAAATTGGATAATTTTTCGTTTTGGTATTAATGGGAGTTTTAATTTGGATGAAGAAATCCGCTTGTCCTAGGAAGACACTTGATAAGTCAATGAAAAGCTAATAGATTAGGGATCTTTACCTAACAGTTATCCTCTAAAAAGCTTAGACTTGAAGAAGTATCCTTCCAAAGCGTTTACCAAAACCGGTAGGTTTAAGAGCACTCCCGAGATTTTCACCCTTGCTGTCCGTTTCTCTTTAAAAGGTTTAATCTTGATAAAATAAGCTATTTTCTAAAGAATATTTATTACGGAGTTTTGCGTAATAGTCACCAAAGAGGTAATAGAATATTAGTTATTTCTCAAATCAACTCAATCCCAGCATTTTTTTGGACCACATTTTCGGTACATAACTTAATACTATTGTTATTCCATTGAAATGCTTTAGATTCACTTATTTGTTATTACTTATTTATTCAACGTTGTAATTTTAATGATAGTCAAAACTCTTTTAAAAGCTTAATTTCGGTGAAGTTAAGTTTCTTTGCAACAAGACTCGAGTTTTCTCCAAAATGTTAAGCACAGAATTCCACGCGGCTGAGGCAATTGCAAAAACCGTTTTATATATATTTACTCTATGTTAGGTTGAGAATAGCTGCTTTAGGAGAACGATAACGTGCCAATTCTTTCCGAATGCAATTTCGAATGTAATTCATTACTTCCTCTTTAATTCTCGGAATGTTGAACTCACGCTCAATTTCCTCTTTTGCTTTTATTTCTGAAATATGAGCAATTTCAGGTGCTTCTTTACAACTTCCAGATGCATGTTTTGCAATACTATTTTTACTGGAATATGTACGTAATTTTCTCTTTGTAAAGTTATTCCAGTAGGTAAAATAATTTGTAGACAAAGTTAGTATAGTTAATAATTTAGCAGATACTCTAAGAAGATAATCATTCTTTTTCCAATGTGGACATGACGTGGGTATTTCGATTAATTTTGATTAATACAGAAATGAAAAATTAATCAAATTTCATCATATTTCCACTTTCCCTCAAATAGAATCGCATTAAATGTAGTCATACACGATAGTAATAAATATATCATCTAAATATATCGGTTTTACTTTCTAACATCTTTTGCGACTTCTTCACCGTTTGACGCTATTGACACTTGACATTTTCGACACCTTGGTAATCTGAAATAATTTTCATCGTAACACTTAAGATTTAATCTTCTCCAGAATTTTCTCGTATTTGCACATTGGTTATACTTTAAAATTTTTCGAGTCTAATTTTTCCTATACCTAATATTATCACAAATTCCTTTTTGCATACCGAAATGAAGACTAAAAGAAGAGAATCTTAAATTAGGTTATTTAAAAAGTTTATTTTTATACTCCTTTTAAACATTTTGGATTAGTTCTTTAAAATAAGTAATTATGTGTATATGATTTTTTAAGGGGTTTTCTTCATCGGCGCATCCCTACTTTCTTTTATACACGCTGATGTAATTTGGGTTTTGTGTTGTTTTGACTATCGGCTCAGGTTGGGTTGGGGTCTTTTTTATTTTGTTAATTTTTTAGCTTTAGCCGCCATTAACAATTCGTTCTTCCTTATTAACTTTTCTTCTTCCTTAGCTTTCTGAAATTCTTTACGTCTAGCGTTATGAGCCTCGTGTAATATGTTCGCCATGTTTATTACCGGTAACAGTCGAGCTTTTAAGTATTCGTGTGAGTTGCAACGGCGATCTTCTATAACCTTTTTGATATCAGGTGGCTTATAATCTGGATTTGGTTTGGAGTACGGATTTGGAAGTTGCTGACAGACGCTGATTTCTGGATGAATAATTGAGCGCTTCTTATGATTTGGGTTGTGTGCACTAGACGCATTACCATCGCGTATAGAATCTCCACTAGTAGTTAATGTGTTAGCTCCTATAATCCTTTTGCTTATAATTCTTATGGGTCTCCGAATTGGTGCTCGAATAACGTTCATTACTAACCGTGTAATGTTTTCCGGAGTATTTGTGAAACAAGGAATTTTTTGAAATTCCTCCTGAAATGTAAAAAAATGTTTGTTGTTTTGTTGTCATAGTTATAGAAATCATATTATAACTTTTTATTCCAATGCAACTACCAAAAAACTGTTCAAAAATCTCAAAATAATTGCGAATATATTAACTATCTACAGTGGTTACAAATTTCATTCATAGAATTTATTACATTCCCTGAGTGTACCCAATCCATTACTTACGCAACCGCAACTGAGTCATCATTAGATTAGTAAAGGGGTCCAGTACGGTTGATTTCATTTACCTTCATCCCTTCAGGACGATTCGGTACGTTCTACGACGGGTTTGCGACCATGATGAATAGCGAACGTGCTTTACAATAAATTTATAATTAGGGTCGTGTCGACCCCGACGAACTAATGAATATCGAATAACGTATAAATCTGGAGGACGACGCACCAACGCAGACATCGGCCTGGAACGGACGGGAACGGAATATTTAAATCTGGAAGCGTGTCGGTGCTGATACGGCCCTGTTCGATTCGCAATTAATGTATTCAAATTAGGGCGGGACCGAAAATCGCGTCCACGTCACGTAAATTGCGGCCCAATGCTACCACCAACACGCGGTAATTAGAATCTCGTTCATCGTATTGATGATGAACATTTTTTATTATCGACTTTTTATCTATTCTTGAAACATAACGTACTAAATATGTTGTATTTTATTTAAAGAGCTTGTTCAATTTATTCAGACTTGGTTAAAAAGTTATAATTATTTATTTAGTATGCCTGGTGCAAATTAATTTTAAATCGAGTTAAAATCGATTGTATTTACTCTATTCCATTATGAAGATTACATGATAATATGATAAATACTAATCATACTTTTGTTAATGAGTTTAATTATGTGACCAATAATTACTAGCTCAAGTTGATTATGTGTTAGAAGAAGAATTAAGTGAACCTCGGAAACGTATAAAAATTTCTGGATTCAATTTCCTGCAGTGAACGAATGTTTATGCTGGTACTGCCGAGTGCAGATGCGTAAAATGCGGAGACAAGCATCCATGCAAATGGAGTGTTTTATGCTAGTCAAGCATCTTCTAATGCGATCGTTGTAACGAAGGATTCTGCCCTACCCAATGGTGGAGATGTTGAAATTCAAAAGTTGGCCTAGACGGTGGTCACTATTCTTCAGGGATTGATCCATGCTATAGTGACTCAGATTAGGAATTGTAATTAAAACCTAAGAATGTTTTATTTCATAAAATAAGGTTACTAAAATGGAACCCCCATGAAATTCGCAAAATGCCGGAAGTACTTTTGGTATTTGCAAACAAAGAAATGAAAAAATAATAAGGCAATGACGATAAGCAAAATCTGCAGTTACTCCAGTCTGGTCAGGAGGAGGCGTTCCAGTCTGCGTACATTCTAGATATTCGGCAAGAGAAGCTCCGTTAATCAGGGAAACTAAACGGAGGTTAATTTCGGTAGAGAAACATGCAAAATGGATACACGCAATATTGTGGAAATAGATAACTATGGGATAATGAATTGTGGCGGCGCTTTAATTACTCTAACAATAAGTCCAGCCTGGGGAATGCACATAACGAACACTGCGAGAAAAAAACTGATGAGAGCTATCCAAACAAGATACAACGACAGTACTTAAAACAAGTGAACCGGGCGATATAGTCGGTGATTACAAAAGGCATAAAGAAAATTAAAGTCGGAAGGAAAATTGAACTACGTTCAGAACACTTTTTAGTGATTGATAAATCTTAAGAGGAGTGAACAGTAACAGTGCTCGGATTGACAAGCACAAAGACAAAATGGACAAAATTCTCATACATATTTTAAGAATACGTCATTAAGGAAATTGAAGAAGATTTTATCCATGAAAGAGAAGAAACNAGGCTAAAAATGCGTTACGTAATGAAACCAGTGCGGTAATGAACTTCATTACGTAACTCAAATCACCTCAAATGAGTGCGGTAATGATGACTTATCCAAGCAGTTGTAGATAAAAGTCTTTTACGTCCTGTTGACAAAAAACTATCGTTTTGACGGTCGCTAAGTACTACGCAAAAGTCAACTTTTAATAGCAGTTTTTGACTCTAAAAGCGTTTGCCTTCCTACGATGATGCAGAGGGAATAAAATAATGCCGACCTTTCTCGAGGTGAAGCACCATACTGAGCCTGTTGCGTCCCATAGGACTTTGATTAGGACAGAACTACGAGAAAGAATTCACAAGATCTTCAAAGATCTACGATAAGTAAGTGAGAGGTTACTATAACTTCACCCCACACTTTTCAATTCTATAGCCACAGAAGATTGGGATACAATAGTATGTCAAGAACGAATTAAAATATCATCATGAAATAAAAAATATTTTAAAGCAAATTTGATGAAGATTTAATGTGTCAAAAATAATTTCTTATTTCCCATAAACATATTGTTACAATTTTTTAAATTCAACTTTGCATGTCTGATTGTTGCAGATTTGAAATATACTCAATCGATTTCAACGTATTTCCAGCAATGCCATCTTAATCACCAGCAAAAATCACGATTGTGTTTCCTTTTCTTATTGCTTTTTAAAATTTTTTGATTTATTATTGTTTGAGCAGTTTTTTGTCTGAATTATTTATTCATTAAATGTAGAGTATTTTGCAAAATACTGATTGGATTAAATCTCAAATAATCCAAATTAATTTTGAAACTCACTCAATAAATAAACCCCAATAATTAATATAATTTAAGTAATCTAACGAGCTCTATTGTTCAATAGACTAACTAACTAATGAGGGAAAATGATTCCGGATTGATCGATAAACCGATTCGGTAGCTGTAGCACAATAATGAGCTATTGTTAACAATTAAAAAGTTATAGTGGGAACATTTGGAAGGTTAAACTCATGAACCAAAATCATTAAAATTATTAAAGATATTTTTATTATAAAAATTGTTGGTTTAAAAGGAGAGCACAGATAGATTAAAAACTAGATTACAAGAGATTCCTCAAATACAATTCTTTGGATTATATTAAAGACGATTACAGAGTGTATTAATAAAAAGTTGTTCCAAGCCTTAATTAATACACACCTACCATACATTTCAATATCATACCTAAACATATCTTTAATCTACTTTAAATCATAGCAAAAATGATAATGTGGTGGATCAGGTGGAATTGGCGGTGGATCTTGCGGAATAGTAACTCCTTCGGCATCCAACAACCTCAATTTAATTTCCATTGACAACAAAGTGTCCAAGTCTTTCTTAGTCTCCTCACTTTGCATACGTTGTCCCAAAAGCGAATGAATCCCATCTGTCCAATAAGCCAAAGTGAGCTCATCCGGTGCGACGCAATCTAAAGATTGCAAATCAACCCCTTCCAGCGCCAAAGAAAACGCTAATTGATGCGAGGCTTTCCGTCCGCGAGTATGAGGACAATCTCGACCGACTAACAAAGCTTTGATGTCCGAAACGGCTAATTTTGAGGCTAACTCTTCGGCTGATGGGGCACTCTTTTCATCGCAATCGCCGTAATGTAAAACTTTGTGATTCGGAGATAGTCGCATGAACCAGAATTTGTCTTTGATTCTTTGCCCTCTGGCGGAGTATTTTGTGAAACGTGTACCCTCAACTAAAAAGGCTAATCTTTGCTGTTTAATTAAGTTTAAAATGTCCGGTGTGATTTGTTCGCGGAGATCAACGATTGGCCTTGCGTGAGATTCCCATTCTTCTCTAGATGTTCTTTCTTGTTGCCATAAATTTGTTATGTCGCTGTAAGTTAAGTTTTGTAAACAAATTCTTAGTTGTTCTAAAGATGGTGGTTTGCTGTGTAAAACTCTTACGATTTGTTCTCTTACAACACCGGCGACTTTTCCGAAATCTTCAGAAGTTGCTCGCATTTCTTTCCAGGTTTTATTTAGTAAAACGATACAAATGCAGAAGCATTCTTCAAAGGGGTGATCATGAGTGAAAAATAAAGGATGAAAAGATTCACCCTGTTCTGATGGAGATTCACCGATTTTTAATAAATCGCATAAAATTCTTACCAGTTCAACACTAGCTCTCCCAAAAGGACATTCGTGTTCATCAGCTCTACAACTATTCTCCAGAACCAATTTTGTGTAAGCATCAGCGTGATTTCTTGCAAAATAAACCATACAATCCAAAGCTAATAATCCAGGAGGAGTATCCATAAAATCCATCGCCGGATTTATATCATTTCTAAAGCCCAATTTTTTGTAATCCCTTGTAAACCCACCGGGACCCCTCATACTTCCAGCACCTTCACCATCAAACGCTATACGACGTAATTCTTTAATTTTATCGTGAGCATCTTGATCTTGAGGATCTATTTTGGTCATCATCCTCTGTTCCAAAAGCCCCAAAGTTAACGTTTGAAGCACGTATAATTGATGGGCCATTTCGGCTCCTTCCGCGGCCCCTTTTTGAATTATACTTTCTTGAATCACTTGACGAACTTGTTTTGACGCCAACGTCGTGGCTACGCTTCGACGTTTCGCGGCATCCGCTTTTAAAAGGAGAGCGTTGATTAAAGCAATTGCGTTTTGTTTAACAACTGATTGTTCTTGATGGAGGTGACTTAATAATGATGTTACCGGTACTTCTCCTTCAACCTAAAATAAACAACCAAATTTTAGATGGAGAATGTTTTTGTGAGTTGGAATAATGTAAAAAATGGTGTTGTTGAAGCAAAGTAAACTGTCTTACTGTTTGTTTATTGCTCAATGTTAAATTTTATCAGTGTTTTAAATTGTTGTCTTATCTTATTGGTAATTGCATTGTTATATTCGTTTTAATAGGTATTGAATTTCATGAAATAATACAGTTTTAAATTGAGAATTATATTGTTTGGAATCTTAACCCATTTGTATCATTCAAAAGAAATGATAAAGTGGCTCATATCACCCTATTTTTTGTTGTGTCTGAAGACACACTGCTAAACTTGATATCTTTCATGTAAATGTCTCGGACCTTGAGCATTTATGGTTGGGTTCTACGCACTGTTATGAAACCTATGCATTTGGATTAATATATCGACCCCCATCTGCTGGAATTGGATGTCTGGTCGAACTTGAAAATGTCCTATCTACAATTAATACTGACTTCAACAACGTTATACTACTTGGAGATGCGAACGTTCGATTCTTTCCGTATGCAAATCCAGAGGTAAATGGACTAAGTCCCATACTCGACATTTTCAACTTAAAACAAGTAATAAAATTAAAAAGCGCAGGCTCTCGAAGCTGGTGCGAGAGATATGTTAACTTCGACTGATCATAAATGTATTTTTTGTCGAATTGATGTTCCTGGGATACGCTCACAATGTCAGCGATTTATTTGCAGAAGCTATAAGTACTTCAACCATGAACTGTTTGAGATGCATGCATCCCATCTACCATGGGGTGATGTGTATCTGACGGAGGACATTGATGTCAAGATTACAATTCTAAATGAATTAATAATCTCTTTGTTCAATGCGCATGCCCCAGTGAAGGATTTCACTGTTACGCGAAAATCACGTCCATACATTACCCCTACGATCAAAGAGATGATCAAATTAAAGCAAAAAGCTTACCAAAAGTTTTCGCGTACTGGTAGTAACAACCACAGAAGGTACTATACCGATATCAGAAACTATGTCACTTTGGCAATACGTAACGAAAAGAAAGCTTTTTTTGAGGCAGAGATAAATAGTAACGTCAATAATCCCTCAAAATTGTGGCACTTACTGCNAACTACGTTCAGAACACTTTTTAGTGATTGATAAATCTTAAGAGGAGTGAACAGTAACAGTGCTCGGATTGACAAGCACAAAGACAAAATGGACAAAATTCTCATACATATTTTAAGAATACGTCATTAAGGAAATTGAAGAAGATTTTATCCATGAAAGAGAAGAAACTAATACAAGAGAAAAATAACCCAAGAAAAAAAGAAATGGAGCTAAGCGAATAACCTACGACACAAAAAATTGTAACTCAGCTACAGAAGGTGGTTAAGAAAATTGTAGATCTAAACCAATACATACAGTGCTAGCGTAAAGTAACCCCCCCCTGCTTAACTTCTGAACAGATTGAGATATCAAAATGAACAAAAAAACGTCAGTTTCTATATTTTATCAGCACAAATATTTTCTTATGAAAAATTTTGCTATCACTTTTAGTTTTTCCGGAAAATGGATCAGCTTTGTTTTTTTAAATGGAACACCCAGTATATTATGGTATCTTTCGAAAGAATAAAACAATACGAATTCAACGATACCTCACAATCAAATATCGGTTTATTAGTTTTTTACATAAAAATTACAGAAAATGCTGCCTTTCGCCGGAAAAACCAACGTATCTTCGTTGACTACCTGTCGAGATACAATGAACCAGATAAATGGTGGACGGTCAGTTAAAGGTCGGTCTACGCTCGGGTTAAGCAGGGTTAAAATCAGCAATTCTTTTAAAATGTTTTTATGAAACAATCAATACAAGAAAAGGATAAAAAGAAAGTTCTTTTTTAAACTTCTAAGAAAAAATTGTCATAACAACAATTTTAAAGTTTGTAGGTACTTTGAAATTTTGTATTTAAGGCAGCATGCAAATATTTTCCTTCATTTCTATCTTTGAATTCTACCCGACCAAGTATAACCAAAGAAAGGCGAGATCAAAATGGCTAGAAGGAGTTTAGAACAAGCACAATATCGAAGCTAAGCGGAAAGCTG